CTTCCTTCCTTCCTTCCTTCCTTCCATCCATCCATCCATCCATCCATCCATCCATCCATCCATCTTTAGTAAAGATTTCACTTTGGAGGAAATCAGTTAAGCTTATTCTGAGAAAAAAGAGAACGGCTTCTAGGCACCAGATCAGGGTAAAAAAATTATAATTCAGTATCATCTATGTATAGATGCTAACTTACCCTGTGCCAATGAATAACTTCTCCCATTGGCTCCAGGTAGATGGAAAATACTTAAATTTTAGCTAATATTTAGGGATATTTATACAGATTTATTTTTAAATATTTGTTAAATATTTAAGATTTTGCAAAATTTCAGAAACTCTCCATACACAGTATTAAAATGAAGCACCATTTCTTACATACATAATGTTAAACTTCTGAAATTTTCCATGACGTTGCATGGCTTTTTCCTCTATTTTTTAAACTGTCCTTGATATTTTGGAATGAGGGTTAACATGACCTATTATGTAAATAAACAGCAGGTTTCATAGATAGGCAAAAGTTCTGTTTGGGATATAGCTACTGAACTTCTAGCACATTTAAAATAGCTTGTTAGGTTTGACAAGGGTCATCTTATTGTTAGAATCTGTATGGTTGCCTATATCTCCGATACATATGTAGGTATGTATTAACATGTGAGAGATTCATATACAGTATATGTGAAAATTATGAAATTAAATCTACAGTGAGGCATTTTAGAGAGTTCAGTACTGTTTTCTACATTTAAATTTACACACACACACACACAAGCAATTTTCGTTTGCGTACGGACTGAAGAATTTGATATATGTAAATATCTACATATGTTCCTTGTGAACAAACTTGATTGTATCAGTAGAACTTTTTTCTGATTTTTATTCAAATGTTGAAGTTTTAGCCTTGTGGCTAAGCAAGTGACAAAACCCAAAAAATCTTACAGTTAAGAATCACTTCAATCATTTTGATTGTGGCAGATACAAATCTCATATAATAAATAAACCTCAGCTGATCTTGTAAATCCTAAGTAGGATTGAACTGGCTAGTAGTTAATAGTGATATGAGCGACCACTTTAAGAGCTGTATGCAAGATTGGGAAATAGAAAAAGAAGCTGTAAATTATCAATAGGTGAATTTGGGAGGAATACAAAATTTAATATGCTTTTATATCCATATAAATGAAGTTTGTATTCTTCTGACAGTATTATTTACATCACTTAGAACTATTCCAGTATTTTTTATTAGATTCTAGTTTATATGCTAATGTTTTTGAGACAGAAATCTATCATCTCTTAAGTTAAAAGTACTTTAAATTAAGAAAGCTTATGCAAGTAGTCCTTGGGTTACAATGGTAATTGGGATCAGAATTTTTATTGCTAAGCAATGTGGTCATAAAGCCTGATGTCATGTGACCACATTGCTTAGTGATGGCAATCCAGCAGTCCCCATTGCCATTGTTACGTGAGGACCTCATATGAGTGTGACATGGGAAGAGGCAGGAATCCAGAAGCGCTTGCTTATGCTGTTGAAACTGCATCCCAGGCAAGCAGGCCGATGGGCAAGAGCTATGAGTGGGCAGGCAGGTGCCACAAATGGATGCTACAGAGTACGGGCAGTTGGGTGGGTGCCACAGGTGGGCAGAACAGAGTACAAGATCCCCATGCCACCCAGTGGCTTTTTGGAAGAAAAAGCAGTGGGAGTGACTTGTGACCTCCTGTCAGATTCCCCATTGACTTTGCTTGTGGGAAGCCAGCAGGGAAGGTCGCAAATGGCGATCGCATGACAGCAGGATGCTGCAATTGTCCTACAGTTGCCAGGTGTCTGAGTTGTGATCATGGGGACTCTGTGATGGCCACAAATACGAGGAAAAGTTCATTCAGCACCATCATATCTTTGAATGGTCGCTGAATGACCATAATCTGAGGACTTCCCATAAAGCAGTGGCAAACTATTTTCATACTATGAAAACTACATGGATGCAGTCAAGAGACCTTTTCTTGCTTGTTTGCTTCCTTCCTTCATAGGGTAAGAGATTTTTTACAGGGCTACACAATGAAATTATATTTATATGTAAAGTATTATGCTTCTCATTTTTATTTTTAAGTTCAGCAATTCATTCCAAGCTGTATCAGCTATGTGTGGTTGTCACTGTTATGGTTAAGCAGATCTGAAAGTTGGGAAAAATGCCAGAGGGATACAGTAATGAACAGCCCATTAGAAATGTTCATCGAAATCTGTTAACAGGATTACAACAAATAATGATTGAGAGTTGATACATTAGGAAGATATTTTGCTAATGTAATGTATCTTGCTAAATCTGGAAATCAAAAGTTGTCTAGATAATCTTGTTGTTGTTTAAGAGTCTAAGGATGATATAAGTCATTTTTCTCTCAGTTCTAAAAGAAATTAAAAATGGAAGGAAGCCAAAATAGTTATTGTATAAATTATATTTTTTTCTGTTGTGTGTTTTTTTGTTTCTTTGGGGTTTTTTTTTTTTTTTTGCATTACACCAGAAGTAAGAAATAGAATGGAAAAGAGAGTAGAAATAGAATAATAAAAAAAAAAAAGGTTCAGGGAGAAAAAAGTGTCAAGCAAACTATTGTATTACTAGAAGTTATTTGCAAAACTCTTTTATGAATAATGTAAGCTATTACATAATGTAAGTGAAAAGCAGTTCTATTTGTGTAAAAAGGCCAATAGCTATCATGCTGGTAGCACATGTACCAGACTTACAGATACCTCTAGATTTATAAATATGTTTAGCCCAGTCATCCCTTCCCCCATTAAAGACTATTATCAAAAGTGCATTGTGTTGTGCGTGGAGACTACAGTGGCCATCATCCTGTATTTAGTCCCCTGCACAAGCATAAAGGGATGGTTTAATGTGTTTTGGAGCTTTTTTTTTTTTTTTAAATGGTGAAAGGCATGGTATTTTATTCTTTGACTTGTGTGAAAACCCATTCTGTTCTGTTAATTGTAACTTCAAACAGACATTTGAAACAAGAGTTTCAAACTGTTATACACTAACACGACAATTTTGGAAGGAATTTGATGCTACCAAGAAATAGGAAGGAATTAGGAGAAGGTAGCATTTTGTAAAACTGCATGTTATGTTAGGAAGACTGGTTCTTACAGGAACAGCTCATTGTTCTTCGAGATTGCCCCTATATAGTATATCCTCCTTTAGCAACTATAATAGGCAGCTTTTCAGTGTTGCATAGATTATTATTATTAAAAACTGGACACAATCAAAAGGGAATTTCACTGGCCATCCAGATCTTGGGGGAAGCTCATTCCAGAGGGCTGGCATTGCTACAAGGAAGGCACACTTCCAGGGTCCTGATAGATGGCATTGTTTGATATTGGGTCATAGTGCATAATTCTTTTGAGCCCAGCAACTTCAGTAGGTTAATTTTATGAAGGTGTGTGTGACTTCAAGTCAGTGATAACTCCTGGCAACTGCCTGGACAAGTCCCTGCAGTTTCTTTGGCGAGGTTTTTTGGAAGTGATTTGCCCTTGCCTGCTTCCTAGGGCTGAGAGAGAGGGACTGCCCAAGATCACCCAGCTGGCTTTGTGCCTAAGGTGGGACTAGAACTCAGGGTTTCATGGTTTCTAGCCTGGTGCCTTTAGCCACAGCACCAAAGTGACTCTCTTTTTATGGAGATACTGCCCTTAAAATCAATTAAACTTAATAAACAAATTCTGTCTGCTTAGAAGTAATCCCTACTGAATGTAATAGAACTTATTCCCAGTAAGCATGAATAGAATTATAACTATGATAGTACTTTGCTTGGGCTGAACTGTGTGGTTTGTTCAGAGCATAGTGGCACTATTTTTTAAAACTGCTGGTTTTCTTTATTTTATATATATAGTGAGAGGTCATTTAGTTTATATTTAAAGATATTTTAGGAGTTATTTTATGTTCACTGAATAAACTTGCCTAGTGATAAAATAATGTCCTTTTTTTCTTTTATCATCTCATAGCTGATTTGAACAACGTTAGATTCTCAGCATATAGAACTGCCATGAAGCTCCGAAGGCTACAGAAAGCTCTCTGTTGTGAGTATTCTGAATATTTTCAAGAATAGTTCTTAATTGCATTTTAAGAAGTGATTGAAAATATCTTCCATAGAACTTTATTTTGTTATCTTCTGGGGCATAAATGGAAGCATTTGTTTTCCCAAATTCAGCCTCAAAATGTAAGATTACAAATTTCCCTTCTTCAGTGTGGATTTGCTTTTCCAAATTCCATGCCAAATTTTTCACATATATAACTATTCCATTTCTTTCCCATCTGCCCAAGACTGCAGATTTTTTATCGAGATATTTGTATTCAACAGGCTTACATTATCTTTTTTTAATATGTTTCTCCTGAAAATATATAATCTGGCCATTTTCCTTTTTTAGCTTCAAAAAAGTTTGCTTGTTTTTAAATGGGCTCTTCAGCCATTAATATTGGTTGAAAATATTTTAATTTGATATAAGATGTCAGTTATGGTTAATTTATAAAAAAGTAGCAGCTGCTTGGTCCAAGTTTGGGATTTCTGTCTATCCTCCATCTTATTTCCCTTTTCGATCCCAATCAATGAATAGAACATTCTGTTGGCATCATCAGTGGAATATACAAAAGTTTTGCCACCATACATTCTCCAAAAATCCCTGTAGATGAATGGAGTAGCCCACCTATATCTGGCCCCATCCACTATTTGGAGTGTAGCCTCACTATTACTTTGCAAGGATTGTGGGCCTTCACAGTAGACAGATTGCCTACTCCTAGGCTGAAGGATTTTTTTTTTTTCATGGATGCAATAAACCATTGCTTCTTGGCCTTTTGGCTAAGATCAAGTGTAGTGTAGATGCAATAAACCATATATGACACTGGAACTTTCTGAAGTGTTGTGCATCTGATCATCAGTCATGTGAAAGTATGGTGATAGAAATTACAATTGTACATGCTTTCCTTTTTTTTCCTTTTTTCCTTTTTGTCTATTGTTAAAATATTGAAAACAAAGAACATAGAAAACATCAAATATTGAAATACAAAGTGAAAAAGAGAAAAAAAGCAAGATGTTACATTTAATTTTGAAAAATTATAAATTTAAATTGTCCATTGGTTCCATGCATATAAAGGAATTATTTTGATAGCATTCATTGTCACTAGGGCCCCAGTATTAGTTTGAATTGGTCTGTATGTGCAAATAAATCAGTTAAATTAACCTTTTTCCACTTTGTTTTCATGTCTGCAGCTGAAGAGAGTTTGGTGCAAGTTAAGGGAAGAACCTTTGAGTTTATCCCACATATCACTGTCCATGAGGCATTAGTAAAGGACGATTTAAAAACACCTTAAGTTGAATCCTCTCAGTTTAGTGCTATTACACACTGCCTATGTAAATAGTACACATTAGTGTTTTCTGTATATTTAAAAAAGTGGCTGGTTAAGCTAAATAATAAAATAAATGTTTTATTAAGCAAATTATTAAGAAAAAGGAACTTTTATACAGTGTATGGGAAGTACAAAATACAAATTTAAAAATACAGTGGCTTTACCATTTATTCAACAGTTTACTAAATCAAAACATATTTTCACACTGCTGCTGCTTATTAATGGTGTCCCATACAATATTCAAGTAAAACTGGAAGAAAACGCTTAGAGGAACTTTTACTTCTTTGAGTGGAAAACATTTACAGAAGACAGTGATCTCTCTTTAGCTAAACGCACTTACACAGTTATTCTGCTACTCAATCCTTGAAAGATTCACTTAATTATCATTGATTCAGCCTCTCAGAGGAGCTGTGAACACTTAGCCTTAAACTCCTTGTTTAAGTAATTTACTGTATTTCCAATTGACTAATAAATTCTGTGTTAGAGGTGGTGTCTTTTCATGATCCCAGGAAATGTGGCTGATAAATAGATCTTTGCTGAATAAGAAACAGCTTTTAAACTAGTAACTGTATGTATGCTACAAAATCTGAGCTCATTTGCATAGAAAAAATACATTAATAGGTGGAAAACACTAAAGATGAATTTAAAATCTGTATCTTCAATTCAATATATTTGTATTTCAGCTATTGCTGAGTTCAGCAGATATGATTAAATGATTATGTGCTTATTTTGTCAGAGCTGTTTCTTACGATTTTTTTTTTATGTGCTTATTTTGTCAGAGCTGTTTCTTACGATTTTTTTTTTATGTGCTTATTTTGTCAGAGCTGTTTCTTACGATTTTTTTTTTATGTGCTTATTTTGTCAGAGCTGTTTCTTACGATTTTTTTTTTTTTTTTGGTCATTACAGTGGATCTTCTAAATCTGTCTGCTGCATGTGATGCCTTGGACCAGCACAACCTCAAACAGAATGACCAACCAATTGATATACTTCAGATCATCAACTGCTTAACTACCATTTATGATAAATTGGAACAAGAGCACAATAACCTAGTCAACGTCCCTCTCTGTGTAGACATGTGCCTCAACTGGCTTTTGAATGTTTATGACACGTAGGTCTCCGTAGATTTCTGTAGCAGTTGATTGTAATCAACTATTGTTCTTCCTATTAAAAAAAAAATTGAACAACTTTTATGGGAGAAAATCTGGGATTATTTTGAAATTCACAAAGAGATGCTGAAAGCTACTTACCTCTAGCTTAAAAACTACTAAGTAAATGAATTGCAACATTTAATTTTGAAGTTCTATATGACCTTAGAATTAAAACATGATAAACTGGAAAATACTGTTTTTAAATAAAATGTTGCTTGTTAATTTTTTACAATTTTAATTGTAAAAATGTTATGTTTACATAATTACATTTCATAGTAAGCTACTTCTCATAAACTGGTATACATACCAGTCTAATTCTATACAGTATGCAGAACTATTGTTCAGAGTTGAAAATGGAGTAGATTTATGACTTACAAAGGAAAACATAATTCTGAAAATATTACAAAAAGATTCAGCATACAAATGATTCTAAAACTGTGCTGATATAATTACCCTACATTATTGTACAGTTATAAACTACTCCTTTGATCTTTTTGATTTTGTTTCATGCTAGTGTTAGAAATTACTTGCCTTCTATTTTGGGAGATTTCTAACATTTTAATAAGCTTAGATGAAAGTATTATTATTTGCATCTACATTATTGCTTATTTACCCCTTTCTTCAATTTAATATCAATAGGGGTCGAACTGGAAGGATCCGGGTCCTGTCTTTTAAAACTGGCGTAATTTCACTGTGTAAAGCACATCTGGAAGATAAATACAGATGTAAGTAATTTGTATTTTGTATTTTCTGCCATTTGCTATGAAGATAGAAAATGGGTATGTCAAATTGTCTTTTCTAATTTTTTAAACAAAACTTAGAAGTTAAAACTTTTAATATATTATGCAGTTTGCGCTGCAAATGTTACTCAACCTGGTCCTGTCTAGCCCCTCTGGACATTATGGTCCTTGTAGTGTCAAGTTGTGGAATGTTGCTGAATGATATGTGGTAAGAATGGGCCAGGATCCAAAGAAAAATTCACATGCACTTGGTGGCTTAAATTTGTTGATTGTGATCCCCCATTTTTTGAAATTCATCCCAGATATGTCATGCCATAAGAAACTTTTCAGAGTCTATTTCTAAAGTGATTTGCTGTTAAGTACTTCTCTCCACTACAGGGCTCAAGAGAGAAGTAGCTTGAGCCTTTAGACTTCGTTCTTTGTCATCTCTTTCTATTATGATCTGTTTCTTCTTTTAACTGGTCTTACTTTTTTAATGTAAGCCATCCAGAGTCAT